TGTCCCTTTCTCCCTGGCTGCTCTCCAGCCACTCTGTCCCAGCCTGGAGTGCTGCATGGGATTGCTAAACACATCTGCAAACAGACATATTTTAAAATAATTTCTGGTGGTTTAATAGAGTTTCTAGGTTTCATATTTACCAACAGGATGTTTTGCTACAGAGCGAGTTGTTGCATATTTGAGGCTTGGATGTTCGATCAGCAGGACAGGACAGAGTTCTGGAGCCAGAGAGTTCTGTGGAGGTGGGTTAAAAATGTCTTTGTTATGCAAATAGTTTCAAATGTTGTGCCACAAAAAATTACTGATGCAGAAGTGATTTACACAATGTCTTCAATATGTTGCCTTTATTTCATGGCCCCCAGAGAAGTAGGACATCTTTAGAAAACACACAAAGCTGTGTTTGTTGGTCTCTGTTCCATTAACTCATGCCAGGCAGCTCCACTGGACCTTGCTGTCTCCTAACAGAACTGAGCACAGTTCTGGTCTGAAATTACCAGCAGAGTAAAATCTCCTCAGCATGGCTCCAAAACTTAGAACTGAAATATTGCAAAGCAGATTTCAACTATTTTTTTTTGGTGTTAAGATTCTCTTCTGGGGACAGAGACTGTGAATTCATCCTTGTTTTAATTTCTTTTTTTGGCCATTTTTGCTATTTCAGATTTATTCTAATGACTGCCTATCATTGCTCTTCATAGAATGTTAGTCATCAGTTTTCTATGTCTTCAAATAGTTTTATAAACATTGAAATGAGTACATGTAACAAGCAAAATTAAATGTTAAAATAGGCCTTGTTTGTAAGGGAAAATTAACTACAATTCCACACGCTTGGCCCAACTTGGATTCCATTGCTCATGGTCCAGGTCACTAGAATTCAAGTGGATTCTGCTTAAAGCAGCAATTCTGCCAACCTCAGTCTACCCAAATTTATCAGCTCCAGGAACAGCAGGCTCAACCAGCTTCCAAAGTCATGGCCCTGTTCCTATCAATGCTGATGAAGGGAACATTTGTCATTAGCTCGTTCCATTATTTTTCTACATGACTTTATTTAATGAAACGAATGTTTAACTATTTAGCATGTGTGACCCAAATTCAGCCAAGTTCCTGAGAGATCAGTGTGAAAGCAGATTAAATTACACTCGTTTTTCACAGATGTTATTCTAAGCATTCCCCTTTGCCCATCAGTCTCACTAATGCTCATTTTAAAACATGAAGATTATGATGAGTTTAAATCTGAATTACCTGATATTATAATCAAATTACTAATTACCTCTGATTAAAAAAACCCACCACATCCTATGAGTAATTAAATATTTTAAACAGTTTTGCAGCATGAAAAAATAGTATATTTAAAGAAACTACAAAATAATATCTAGTAATACAACACTAAAACTAATAATCTATTTTAATAGTTTATTTAAATTAGTTTTACCTTGATATAATGAACCATTTGAATTGTAAAGTCATCCCTGGAGTTTTCAAGAATAAGGGTACCACCCATGTTAGAAGTGGTGTTGTGGAGGTCAAAAATAAGGTCATAGGCATCATCACTACCTTTGGGACCAAATATCTGATTGATTTCCTGAGCCCTCCTCACTTCATATGGAATATCTTCCACCACTGACCTGCTGTTAATAGCAGTACAAAGAAATTAGTAAACTCATTCCATGGCTTCACAGTCAACAAAATATGTATAGCCTTTGCTTTTTACTTTCATTCCATAACTGGCTGGAGTTGAAATCACCTATTTAATTACCAGACTCAAAAGTGGCTGAATTTGTGCTTGAAGAAAGTAGATATGATGGGAATACAGGTCTTGCTGTTGTGTGTCTTGCTCAGGAGGATGTTAAAATTGTCTAGTCTGGTTTTAGCTGGAGACTATTTACTTCTCTCTTATTTCTTTACAGCCCAAAATTTCCTCGCTATGCATAAAACTAATTAAAAATTTATCTCCAACTTAAAAAGCACATCCTAGACTGGATCCTCCTCCTACTGGAGACACTGGTCAGACATCAGGCCATACTCCTATACTTTGGGCATTTCTCACAAGCTCTTTTGTAATTTATGTCTTGTCTTCTCATGATCCAATCAGATATTTACAGTCTCTTAGAATCACAGAATCAACCTGGTTGGGAAAGACCTCTAAGATCATCGAGTCCAACCCTACTGTGGTCACTAGACCATGGCACTAAGTGCCACATCCAGTCTCAGCTTGAAAACCTCCAGGGATGGTGAATCCGCCACCTCCCTGGGCAGCACATTCCAATGCCTGAGCACTCTCTCTGTAAAAAATCTCTTCCTAATATCTAACCTAAACCTTCTCTTGCAGATCTTTAGTCTGTGCCCTCTTATTCTCCTGCTGGTTGCCTGGGAGAAGAGCTTTGAGCCCTCCTGATTCTCAAAGCTCATAGAAGATTTTGCTATCTCAAATCTGTTCCTCCAACATTTTAATTCTTGTAGTTTCAGGTGTCTGTGCCTGTGCTATGCTTTAAAAAATGGTCATAGCTAAGGGACCCACTTCCAGCCTGTGTGAGGGCTCTGTAGGGCCCTGAGGTATGACACAAACACATCTGTCTTGGGTATGAGCAGTGGATAAAGCTCCTGCAGCCTCAGCCCTGGTCCCCTTGGATAACATATCTGGTCTGGATGAGGCTTGGGACACCACCCAAGCACAACACAGACACACCTAGAGGCTTTGCACTGTTCAGTTTTCTTTTCCAGTACAGCTCAAGCTTTGTGGTATTTAAATTTCGTAAGAAACACTGAGGTTGTGTTGCATAAAGAATGTTTTGCTAAATGCTAACAAAACACCTTACTAACTGCATGGGGAGTTAAATACCAGAAGGGGTTGCTGAGGAAAATGATGGGATCACTGCTGCTGGATCATTAGAAATGGCAAGACATAATCCATTGGGAATGTCTACATGCAGTTGATCTAGTGATGTGATGGAGGTGGATTAGAATTTTAACATGAGCCCCTCAAGCTCCTTTTCCTATTTTTATGACTCTGTATATCACATAATCTACCTTTGTATTCTTTAGCTCTGCCTGAAATCGAAGGTTTCTTCACATTAGTCTCTTAAATTAACACTCCTTAGCAAAGCCAATGGGACTTCCACCCTTACTTTCAGCAGTATCAGGATTTCACTCTCCTTTTTCTTGTTCTGTAAAATCATTTGTAATCTTGACGGGTCTGCACTCAAAGGGCTCAGGGAAGGTACTCCAAACACTCAGTGGTGCTGTAATAGCACTGGGATTTACTGAGGAGGATTAGTTAAACAAAGAAGACATCATGCAGGTGTCTTAATCTGCTGTTTTTTTCAAGTATTCTATGCTCAAAGCAGCTGAAAACAAACAAACCCACTTTGTTTTTTTTTCTTTTCGTGTGCTTGTCCTAAGTAAACAATTAAAGGAATGGCCTCGGTGTTATGTGTTAACTTCTGTTTATCTTAGGTATAATAACAACAACATCCTCAGATGAAAAGAGGTGCAGGGTAAGGATAACTATCCTTGCAAAATATTTGCAATATGTATTTCTTTTAGTGATATTCACCTGCACTATTAAAACCTTTCTGAACCAGCACTGCCTGGTTAGCAACTGCACCAAGCATAAGGATGTTTATACAGCAAAGTATAACTCTGGAACAGATGTCTCAAGAACCCAGAAACATCAAATCCTATTAAATATGTACAATGTGTCACTAGTTTCCAGTAATTATAGATTGTATTTCTTCTACAATAATGAGTCAGTTAAATTATTGAGGGGGTTTTTTTGGTCTATCATTTTGCCATAGAATAGATTATTTCTAATTTAGCTGCTTTCAAGTGTTCATTTTCTACTGTACAGAGCTGGAATTAAATCCACTTCCCTGATTTCTGTGCTGTTCTTGCAGATACATTTAAATTGCCTTTATCTGTTGTTTCCTGCAAGTCTAATTGTATTCAGGAGAGCTCCAAAGCTGAATTGCACAAGAGGTGAGTAATAAATAATGACTTTGCAACTCAGAGCTGTGATCCTTCAATTTACACAAACAGAGCTAATGCAATAGTAATTTAAAATGCTGTGTTTAAGATAACGTGTTGGGTTGAGACTCATTCCACCAGCAGGAGCTTGAAAATGAATCTGTTCACACTCAAGGCAGTTTGTTCTATTTTTTTGGGTTAAAGGTCAGTAATTTCAGTTATGTGACTGCACAGTTAAAGTAATAGTGGAACTTGTGTTCACATTTTAATCTGGAGAGGAATCTCCTTACAACTTTAAAGCCCAGAAAAGTAAAACAACAGAAAAAAAGCACAACTATTCTTACCCAAGATTATCAGGGTCAAAAACGCGGTTCAGATCACAGTCAATGTACCTAGTGCACTTCTCCACGGCTCTGGGGTTGGCAAGAAATGGTTTCACTTCCATGCCTGGTCTTTGAATCTCAGCTCTGTTCTCCTGCCAGTGCTTGACCAGCAAAACCCCTGAGAGCTCATTGCCATGAGTTCCCCCGAAGACAGCGACTCGTCTCAGCGGAGCCTCGGCCACCACGGAGGAGGAAGTCATTGCTTTCCAGCAGCTCTAAGGATTGCTGAAGGCAAAACAGAAAACACTGGTAAAGTACAACTGGAAAAAATATCCCACTAATTCTTTTCAGTAGGAGATTCCTTAAGCCTGTTCAGGTCAGATGTGAAAGAAAGTGAATGAGCATTGCTGTCCCAGTTCTGGAGTCCTGTTCCAAGCGGGAGCTGCCAACCTGACCCTCCTCCTCCTTCCAAGGAACACTCCCCTTCAGTTCCCATATTTAGTAACATCTCCAAGGCTGTTAATGGAACTCTCACCCAGTTCAAAAGTTAACTTCTGCAGGAAATCTCTGCTAATGTATGATACCTCCGTAAATCCTGTGCTAACCACAGTGTAAAGGATTTTTTTTTAATGTAAACTTTAATAACACACTTCAATATCTCTGACATTTTCACTAGGTGGAACAAGTGCTCTCGTGTGTGTTTGAAGTTACATAAACATTAAAGTGTGCTGAATGGTTTAAAGTGAGCAAAACCAGTAAAATAAGTCACATCTTGGCTCCAGCCCAGCGCAGAATGCTGAAACATCAAGTAATTTCAAGTAAAAACCCAGGACCAGCTGAGCTCCTCAGAGCCTGTTGTGGCTTGTACGACCCTTTTTTGGTTTAGAAATCTATGGGGCAATGATGAGAAGGAACACGAGCTGAAATCACAGAGCAGTTTATCCATGACTGATTTACCCACTGTTCCTGTTTCTGGTTCTATCTCAGGATCTGCTCACACAGACCTCTAACACGTTGAAATAACTTTGCCAGGGACAGCCCTTTAACTTGTGCAGCCTCTTATTAAAAAGGAAACAGATCCAGACCACGATGGGACAATAGTTCTGTTCTCCTCCCCAAAAACCCCTTTAGTCAGCAACTTTTCTTCCCTTTGCAAAGTGTTCAGAAAAGCTTCTGAAGCTCAAGCCAAAGAGCAGCTGTAACTTCCATCCTGAGGATCAAAACATCCAGAATTAAAAGGTCTTAATATCAGAAAAATCAGGTTTATTGCTGTAAATGACAGAAGGATTTGTGATTGGTACCCGACACAAGATATAAACATTAAAAATGTAACATTGCAAGGGAATAGAGAATGTTTATTGAGCAATTCCTTTTTATTAAGATTACACTCCAGTGACTGAGAGAGTATTTGGCTAGTGCCTGGGAGAGGCTTTATAACCCAGACTGTGGGTCTAGGAAAAGCTAAACACAGGATTTATCTAGTCAAGTTCTGCCAGGAATATATTTCCTACAGAAGTTGCTCACTCTGTTTCACTTCATGCATGCAGCTTTGAACCTTCCAGCCAGTTAATACACACACAGTGTTCACTTAAACACTCAGCTGTATTACTCCTGTCCTTAGACACCCTCAGATATTTAATCAGAGCAAGTAATTGATTAAAGGAAGCAGTGAGGGTGTATTTTACAGCACTGTGCTGTCCTTTGCCCTCAGGCTGTTCAGTGGTGGTGCCAAAACTGCCTGAAAACACAACTCACTTTGGATCTGGGTTTGGATCTGAGTTTAACCTCTGCAGCAGGATGAGGAGTAAATGGCAAAATTCAGACACGTAGGGCTGGAACACATAGTTTGTCTTGTGTTGTTGCTGGTGCTGTGATGGTTGCAACTCTTTGCAAAATGCTGAGTGAAGCACAGAGATTGTCTGTGCATTTACCTCACTTAACATGCAAGAAGTTTTGGCTCCTGAGAGTGTTCTTAGGACAGAGACAGAGAATTTCCAAGCATGAGTTTAGGGACTAAAGCCATGGAGGATTCTTTTATTCCCTCCCCCCCAGCAGTTTCCATCCAAGCGCTTTTAACTCCTGCTCTCCCAGGACAGGACAGGCACTGCCAATTTAGGGATGAATAGACACAGGGGAAGTTTTCAGAATTAAACACCAGGACCAGTCCCTTATTCCTGTGCTTTGCCAGTGCTTACAGCCTGAAAAAGGATGTCAGTGCAGCACTCCAGGCTGGGACAGAGTG